GGGAGTATGGAGGCGCGTGGCTCAATGGGAAGAGGGGCTGGGGAAGCATCTGCCCTTTTGTTTGTTTCAACAGTTTCCGTGTTGACTATACAACTTGTTAAGTGAGAAGCAGAAGAAGTTAAGAAATGCACTACAGGAGTTTCTCTGCCAGTCTGGAGGGAGAGGTGAAGAAAGGCAGGGGGAGGGACAGACAGCTAGTTTTCTTCTTTTATTATTAAACACCTTCTTATTTCATAATCTCCACTTCGGAGACTGCTACTGCCGTCTAAGTGGTGTGACTGTGGATTGATTAGAGAATACTGTTTCATGCTCACAGGCAGAAGGCATCAAAACCATACAAATGTTTAACCTCTGATAATATCAACCAAACTACTCTCCACATACAGTGGCTGCAGACAATCCTACAGGCTCATGCATCTTTTAAATTTATTTTTTTATAGGAAAGGCAGATACACAGAGAGAAAGATCTTCCATCCACTGGTTCACACCCCAAGGGGCCACAACGGCTGGAGCTGAGCCAATCTGAAGCCAGAAGCCAGGAACTTCTTCCAGGTCTCTCACATGGGTGCAAGGTCTTAAGGCTTTGGACCATCTTCTATTACTTTCCCAGGCCACAAGCAGGGAGCTGGATGGGAAGTGGGGCTGCTGGGACATGAACCAGCATCCATATGGGATCCTGGTGCGTGTAAGGCGAGGACTTTAGCTGCTAGGCCTCTGTATCGGGCCCAGGACCATGCATTTTTAACCAAACGCACTAAGGACTCATAGCAGAAAGAACCAAACAGCTAGCAAAAGAATCAGCAAAGGGAGTAGCACAGACATAGTATTTAAGATGCTGTTAGAGAGAATCTTCTACCTGCTGGTTCACCTGCCAAATGCCCACAGCAGCCATGGCTGAGCCAGGTGGAAGCCAGGAGCCAGGAACTCCCCTCTGCATCTGCCCTGTGGGTAGCATGCAGTGAGACCTCATCTGCCTCCCAGGATGATGCCACGACTCAAACTGGCATTTCCATCTGGGATACACGTGTCGCAAGTAGTCACTTCACCTGCTGCATATAGCAACACCCACCCATTCTAGTCTCCCACCCATTCTAGTCTCCCTTTATGGACAATCTTGTGAACATGTCAGTCTCAGCTCTCTAATTCTGTTTCACAAGAACAAAGACACTGTCATCTCCCCCTGAAATCTACAGAGTAGGCACTCACATCCTCCTGTGTATTGATCGACTGATGGATCGCTGAATTCCCTTGAGAACTTGTCTCCTGCCTTCTCTAGCACAAACGGCATTCTCCATTCTCCACAGTGTACAGGCAGGTGCTACTTTCCCAGGAATTGCCATGTGGGGAAAAGGTACATTCCCAATGGGCCACACCTTTATCAAGATTCCAGGAAGCAAACGTGTTTCGGAGGCCCAGGTCCAGGCTCTCATGTCTGCACAGTTCTGAAGCACATAGTGGGGTGAAAAAGACACAACAGTGTGACTGGTCTGGGACCACCTGCGTGCTCCTCCCTGCATCCTTGCCTTCCCTTCTCTCCCTCAACCCCTGCTATTCCGCTGTGGTTACTGCGCCCGCAGTGGATAGATTCCCTGGTATACACAAGTTGTATCCCATACCAGACATATCCCACACTGTCTCAGAAGGCGGTTCAACCAGCTTGAAGATAGGGGCTGGCCAGATTGGGGTAGACATGCACAACTCCTTGGGGACAATGTTCTGCTATGTGACAATGTTACCCCGTCTGGCCACTTCTACTCCCCCTTTCTGGAGAGAACGCTCAGGAGGGGACAGCAGGTGACTCCTGGGGCCCACCTGAGTCGTGCTCATCAGTAAGGGGCTGGAGACCTCAGGAACCTTCAGAATGTCCATGGAGGAAGGGCTCAGGGAGGGCCATCTCATTAGAAGGCAAGAGAGATTTCAAATTGCATTTATACAGAATTGGATGACTGAGAAACATGCTATCAAAGTGGAAGGGCAAGGGGTCCATAGCACAAAAGACCCCCTCCTTGCATTCTGACCCCTGCCTGGTACCACCAGAAGTCAGGGTTCAAGCAGTAGAGACAAACCATTTGATTTCTCCCAATCACCTCACATACGGCATTACTTTTCAATATGAAACACAGAGTATTTACACATTTTCTCCAAGCATAATCCTAGATTACTCAGTAACATGTCCCTGATTGTCTCAAATGACTGGCATAGGAAACATGACATCCTGCCAGCAAGTTGGCCACGAGAGTGCCCTAGAAACTATTTCCCTGAACATATAATCATTCAAAGCTGGAGCCCAGCTTCAGAAGGCTCCAATCAGCTCCTGAGACAGCTTTCTCTGCTGTACGTGCACATTATGCTTATGCAGACCCCTACTTGCTGGAAAGAATGTTCATTTGGACTTAAAATACATAAATAAATAAAAGCATTTCCTCACACTAAAACAGGACAAATTAGAGGGCAGGATTGGAAATTAGCTTCTCAAGCCACAGAGTAAAATGTGGAGGACCAAAATCAAATCAGAGGCCTCTCTGTTCTGACTGCGAGGACAAAACTGAGAGCAGGGTCAGGGACAGAGAAGGCACCTGGGGTCAGACGACAGATCCACTGAGCAGTACATACCCCAGCCACCAGTTCCTTGCACCATGCCATCCAGCCTGCTTGAGCCCTCTGTATGTATGTATGTATGTATGTATGTATTCGTGGGCCTGGCACAGTAGCCCGGTGGCTAAAGTCCTAGCCTTGCATGTGCCTAAATCCCATATCAGCACTGGTTCATGTCCCAGCAGCCCCACTTCCCATCCAGCTCCCTGCTTGTGGCCTGGGAAAGCAGTTGAGGACGGCCCAAAGTCTTGGGACCCTGCACCCATGTAGGGAGGCCCAGAAGAGGCTCCTGGCTTCTGGTTTCAGATTGGCTCAGCTCCAGCTGTTGTGGCCCCTTAGGGTGTGAACCAGTGGATGGAAGATCTTTCTCTCTGTCTCTCCTCTCTGTAAATCTTACTTTCTAATAAAAATAAATAAATCTTTAAAAAAGAAAGAGTTTGGCATTGTGGCATGGCAGATAAAGCTCTGACCTGTGACTGTGGCATCCTCTATGGGTGCTAGTGCATGTCCTGCTGTTCCAGCCAATCCAGTGTCCTGCCAGTGGTCTGGGAAAGCATCAGAAGATGGCTCAAGTGTTTGGGCCTCTGCTACCCATGTGGAAGACCTAGGTGAAGCTCCTGACTCCTGGCTTCAGTCTGGCCCAAACTTGGCCATTGTGGCCATGTAGGGAGTGAACACAGTGGATGGAAACTTTTTCTCTCTCCATTTCCTTCTCTCTCTCTGTAACTCTTTCAAATGAACCAATCAATGAGAAGATACCTATTCCCTGCTTCTAGTTCATCTAAACCCAGAAGGATATGATGTGAGAGAAGACCAGACAAAGATCATTGGATGAATTATCACCCATGCAAATTCCACTTTGGTCACTTCAAGCTCACTCCAGAGAGATCCACTCTCTGAGCTGCACTTGTTGGAGAGTTCTTCAGTGGACCGCACTCCACCGCTGCCACGTGGGCCCTCACAGCATTTCCTTTCCCTCCTAATTGCATGGAACACATCATGCATTTGTTTACCAACGGTGGGCCATGCTGGACCACACGCACGTGCGTTCCATTCAGATGTATTTATATTAAGTGCAAAAAGCAGGTAATAGCACCAAGTACATGATTCCATCTAAAACGTTTACACCTATTTGCTCGTTTAACTCAAAGGTCTTGGGGCCCATAGAGTATTTTAGGTGGTATAGAGTATATTAGGCCGCTGCCTGAAATGCTGGTATTTCATGTGCACGCTGGTTTGATTTCCACATGTTCCAATCCAGCTTTTTACTGATGGCCTGGGAAAGCGTTAGAGGAAAGCCCAAGTGAGAAAGCCACCGCACCCACGTGGGAGATCAGGATGAAGCTCCTATCTTTTGCCTGGCCCAGTCCCGCCACTGCAGCCATGGAGGGGTGAACCAGTAGATGGAAGATCGCTCTCCTTCAGTAACTCTGCCTATTAAATAATAATAATGATGATGATGATAATAAGGGCAAAGTTCTGGAGCTTTGTACTTTTACTGTTTCATTTCTGAATTATCCAGATGTTTCCCTGAGTACATAAACTAAATTCTTTAAAAATTAACTAGAAGCCCTCATAGCGCTTCACCAAGAATCTTTATCCACGTTCAGCATACTGAACATCTGGAAAGTCTTCTCAGTGTGATGCTTCCATGAAGGGTCCCTGCACCTCCTGTGGAGATGAGGGTCTGCGCCCAGCCCACAGGTTACCCAGACAGCACTAGTGTGGGCCAGGATGATAGTCTACCCCAGCACAGCTAAGAGGCAGGGCAGATCTGATTTAAAAAATAAAAATTCAGCACCGTGGGCAAGGGGAACACAGCAGCTCCTCTGGCTTCACTCCTGATCAGGCTTCTGCAGGCTTCTTCTTTTGGTAGGTGTCTTCTTTTTTATATTTAGAGGCCAGCTATAAGGGAGGGGTCCTTGAAGACCAGGCCCCTGAACTGGTCCGCCAGGGAAACTAAAATACACCATGCTGAAGGAATCCTGCCGGGTCTCCTAGTCTCTGCTGAGTAATGCAGATGCTGGGACAGGAAAGGAAAAGTGGTGTGTTGGTTTCAAATTTAAACTCTGAAGTAAATCCTGGGAATCACTTGGCAACAGAGTGGCAGACGGCGCAAAGTGCTATGTGGAACACCGGACTGTGGTTTATTATTATTATTTTTTTTTTCTGCCTAACTTCGCGTTCCCATGCACCAAAACGTTGATGCTGATAAATATTGGGATGCCGCGCTTACCTGACCGGCTTCCTTCATCCCACCTGGGCACGGGGGCTCAGCGTGAGCCCGCCTCTCGTGGCTGGAGCCGGCCCGGCCGCCCGTGGGCTCCGCGCTGGCCTCGGGGTCCCGCAGACGGCGGCCGCGCGCACGCGCGCTCCCCTCAGGCTCCTGGCCCCGGTCTCCCGCGGGGCTGAGACCGGCCGGGGGCGGGGCGGCGGGCGAGCGCTCACGGGCACGTGACCGGCCCGAACATGGCGGCGCCCAGCGGCGTCCACCTGCTCGTCCGCAGAGGTAAGCGCCTGAAGGGCGGCCTCGGCGGGCTGCTCTCGCTCGCCGCGCTCGGGGTTCAAAGGGTTCCACGCCGGTGCTCAGGCTTCTCGGCGCGCGCGAACGCACTGTTAGCCCCCCGGGCACACCGAGTGACACTTTTGCACGCCCCGATACGTTCCCAAGCAGCAGGAACATACACACACACACACACTGCTTTGACGTTCTCCGCAGTGGACCAACGTCTCCGCGTGGCAGCAACCTACGGGTTCTAGTCTGAAGTTTTCTTTCCCCAGTCGGTTATAACACTACTGTAACAAGCATGTGTTTCAGGCTCTCAGCTTTTTGCCTAAAATACCAGCTTGGTCTGTCAGATATATTTTTCTTTGAACTCGGTTACGGAAAAGAAATTCCAGCGCCGAGCAGTGACTCCTCTGGTAACTCCGAAATCACTCGGACATGCAAATTCCTTCTCTTGACCTATTGTGTTGGCATCTCTTTGGGAAAACTTGGAAAATGTGCTTGTTGCATTTGCACTAGGTTGTCAATCTTTGTTGGAAAGAAGTAGGAAATTGTTTCAAGGATGAGAAAGAGAAAAACATTCTGCAAAGTTAATTGGGTTTAAGGCATTTAGTTCAGTGTTTTTAGTGCAATAGCTACCAAAGTTTATGTACCTTTTCTGAATGAGATACTGTGTTTCCCACCTCCTATATGCTAGCTACCATTTAAACTGAGTTAGGAATTCTTTCCTCGGCTGATGGGAGTAAAGCTAGAGAGGTTTTAACTAGGATTCACCTCACACAGATGGTAACAGGCAGAATGTGTGACTTCTTAAGGCATCATTCCTCTGAACTGCATGGTCTGGTCTCCTAGAAACCAGAGGGTAAAATGGGTGAAATGCCGCAGCACCAGTATGATGACTGAATAAGGCCTATTCAGGTAGAGGAAGGGGTTTGATACAGGAAGAAGGTTGGTAGATACATAGACTTCAGTGGTAGATGAATAAGGAGCCGCAGGAAGATCTGAGGTGAAGGATGTGTAAAAGGAAGGTGAAGGAAGAGTGTTTTGCATTCGGTGCGAGGCAGACCGGTGGTAGACATGAGAGTTCAGTCTTGTAAAGAGAGCCCATTGATGGATATTCCTTAAGATCTGGGCTTCAGGCCAAACTCTATTTGCTATTTTAGTTACCTTTTTCTTTTCTCTTTTGACAAGACATAATGGCATTTTGATCTTGTTTTTGTGTGCTGCAGGTAATAGAAGGTTTTGTGGAGATAAACAGAGTAGAGGAGGAGCAAGTAAATAATAAATTGCCCTAAGTTGTGTGTGTGTGTGTGTAAATCTTTTTGCAGGTCACTAAGGTAACAGTCATTCCTTCTGGTCTCCCTTGTTCTGTTCCTTTCTCCCTTGTTTCAGGTTTTCCAGCCAGTGTTTACTGGCTTGATTTTTTAATCATGAAACTTTAAATATACTTGTATTTACAAGAAAGGCAACAATAGCAAAGTGAACAGCTGTATAGCCACCACCCAGATTCAACACTTTCCAAGGATTCATCGTATCTGTTTCATCTCTCCTTTTTCCTTTTGCTAAAGCAGTTTTAAAAATAAACTTGTTTCTTTATTTGGAAGAATGATGGGAAGGTTTTGCATATACTGATTACTGATTCATTCTCCAAATTGTACAAGGTAGTTGGGACTTGGATGGGCCAAAACTAAGAGTCAGGAGCCCCAACATAGTGTCCCATGTGGAAGACAGGGGCCTGGGCGCTTAAGTCATTGTTTGTTTTTTTCTCAGATGCATTAACAGGAAGCTGAGTGGGAAGCAGGGAAGTTGGGGTTTGAACAGGCACTTCAATAAGGGATGCTGCTATCACAGCTGGTAGCTTAATCCGCTATACCACACAAATTGTAATTTGTACCATCTTGGGAAAAGCTACTGTAGGGAAGGCAGATCAGCAGCCAAGAGGGGACTGTTTTAATTAGAAGAAAGGAAAAAATATGCTGAGGAAAGCATTTTAGGGTAAGGGAAAAGGTAATTTTCTGGAATTTTCTTTTTTTTAAAGATTTTATTTTTATTATTTTTTCATTGGAAAGGCAGATATACAGAGAGGAGAGACAGAGAGGAAGATCTTCCGTCCGATGATTCACTCCCCAAGTGAGTGCAACGGGCCGATGCTATGCCGATCCGAAGCCAGGAGCCTCTTCCGGGTCTCCCACGCGGGTGCAGGTTCCCAAAGCCTTGGGCCGTCCTCGACTGCTTTCCCAGGCCACAGGCAGGGAGCTGGAAGGGAAGCTGGGCTGCCCGGACTAGAACTGTCGCCCATATGGGATCCCGGGCGTGCAAGGCGAGGACCTTTAACCACTTGCGCCACCGCGCCGGGCCCTATTTTCTGGAATTTTCATAGCTAGGTTTGAATTGCAGACAGGTCTTTCCTCTCATCCACTCCCCAACCCACAGGGTTGAAAATGAAAGAGAGGGCCCGATGTGATGATGGTCCAAGTGGCTAAATCTTCATGTTGCATGCACCAGGATCCTATATGGGTGCCAGTTTGTATCCTGGCTGCTCCACTTCCCATCCAGCTCCCTGCCTGTGGCCTGAGAAGGCAGTAGAGAATGATCCAAAAGCCTTGGGTCCTTGCACCTACATGGGAGACCCATAAGAAGCTCCTGGCTTCTGACTTCAGACTGACTTAGCTCTGGCTATTGTGATCACTTGGGGAGTGCATCAGCGGACAGAAGATCTTTTTCTCTGTCTCTTCTTCTCTGTATACCTGCCTTTCCAATATAAATAAATTAATATTTTCAAAAAAAAAAAGAAAAATAAATGAAGGACAAGGGCCAACATTGTGGCACAATAGGTTAAACCTCCTCCTGTGGTTCTGGCAACCCTTCTGGGCACTGGTTTGAGTTCTAGCTGTTCCACTTCCCATCCAGCTCCCTGCTAATGAGCCTGTGAAAGCAGAATAAGCTGGCCCTAGTGCCTGGGCCCCTGCACCCACGTGGGAGGCCTGGAAGAAGCTCCTGGCTTGAGGTCAGCCCCACTCTGGTGGTATGGGGAGTGAGCCTGTGAATGGAAGATCTCTCACTCTCTTCCTCTCTCTGTGTCTGTCACTCTGACCTAAAAAAAAAAAAAAAGAGAGAGAGAGAGAGAAAGAAAATGAGGATGAATTGGTGAATTGGTAAAAATTCTTTTCTATGTGTTCTTTCCCTTCTTTCCTCACTTAGATTGATGCATTCCAATTCAATACAACAATCTTTAGGTGTCAAGATCCATCACCAGCATTTATTATATCATTAGCATCTTACCTTAAACAGACCTCTGAAGACCCTCTGAAGAAGAGTGTGGGGCTTTTCCATGCTTTCTCAGCTCACGTGGCTTTAATTGCAGCATATCCATATCTAGTACTTAGTCCTCTCACTATCCATACTGCTAACTAGACTATGAATTCCTGATGAACAGGAACCATGGGTTCTTCTGCTGCTTTTCCTAGGCCATTAGGGAGCTGGATTGGAAGTGGAGCAGCCAGGATATAACACAAAATGCCTGTGTATTTAAAGTGTAAGAAAAGTATATCTGGGCCCGGCGCGGTGGCGCAAGTGGTTAAAGGTCCTCGCCTTGCACGCCCGGGATCCCATATGGGCGCCGGTTCTAATCCCGGCAGCCCCGCTTCCCTTCCAGCTCCCTGCCTGTGGCCTGGGAGAGCAGTCGAGGACAGCCCAAAGCTTTGGGAACCTGCACCCGCGTGGGAGACCCGGAAGAGGCTCCTGGCTTTGGATCGGCATAGTATCGGCCCGTTGCGCTCACTTGGGGAGTGAATCATCGGATGGAAGATCTTCCTCTCTGTCTCTCCTCTCTGTATATCTGCCTTTCCAATGAAAAAATAATAAAAATAAATCTTTAAAAAAAAAAAAAAACGAAATAAAAAAAAAAAAAAAGAAAAGTATATCTTTAAGATCCCCACAAAGAATGGTAGATGGATATATTCCTACTGCTGTACTTTAGTTGCTATTTAGTTATTTAATTATATATATTTTTAAAGATTTATTTTTTATTTTTATTACAAAGTCAGATATACAGAGAGGAGGAGAGACAGAGAGGAAGATCTTCCGTCTGATGGTTCAGTCCCCAAGTGAGCGCAATGGCTGATGCTATGCCGGTCCAAAGCCAGGAGCCTCTTCCGGATCTCCCACGCGGGTGCAGGGTCCCAAGGCTTTGGGCCATCCTCCACTGCTTTCCCAGGCCACAAGCAGGGAGCTAGATGGGAAGCGGGGCTACCGGGATTAGAACCGGCGCCCATATGGGATCCCGGGCGTGCAAGGCGAGGACCTTAACCACTGCGCCACCGTGCCGGGCCCTTAATTCTATTTTTAAAAATTAAAAAATATTTATTAAGTGCATTGTTAAGTTCTGACCCTAATGGCTATAGATTCTTCCATGGAGAAATTGCTTACATAGCCATCTTTTTTTTTTTTTTTCCTCAAAAATGTAACACCTGGGTTGGGGATATCATTCTATATCATGACATTTTTTGTTAAAAAATGTTCATTTATGATTTGGAAGGCAAAGAGACAGAGAGCTCTTCCATCAGCTTACTCAGTCCATAAATGGACTGAGTAAATAACCAGGGCTGCCTAACCTGAAGCCAGCAGCCTAGAACTTCATTCCATTCTCTCACAGATGACAGAAACTCAAGTACTTGGGCCATCATCTGGTCCTTAGTAGGAACACTAACTGGATTGTAAGTGGGACAGTTGAAACTTACACTGGAGCTCTGATATGGGATAATGGTATTGCAGGTGGCTGCTTAACCCACTGGACAACAATGCTGGCCTCTTACACATGAATTAAGTGTTTACCTTTTTTTTAAAAAGAGTTATTTATTTTTGAGCTGGTGCTGTTGCCTAGTGGCTAAAGTCCTTGCCTTGCATATGCTGGATCCCATGTGGCTGCTGGTTCTAATCCTGGTGACCTCGCTTCCCATCCAGCTCTCTGCTTGTGGCCTGGGAAAGCAGTCAAGGACGGCCCA